CTTTCTCCATCATATATGGTGTGGCTGACAAACCAAAGATGGCCTACATCAGGCCAAGAGAGAGTCTTCTGCCCTGGGCCTACCTCTCTCTGGAGGGCAGTGTAGGGTTGCTTGGAAATGAAGGTGGCTCTCAGGAATTCAGCCTAGGGAAGCTGGAAGTTTATGTACAGGCTTCGCACTACTGTGTCATTCATAGTAGTGGGAAAGAAAACACATTTAAACATTCTGCAATAGACTAGCTAAATAAATTATAGCCCTCTCATATGGTGACATAATATACCACTATTAAAAACACATCATGCTTTGACTAGCTAGAGGCATGGCTAAATGGACAGAGAATGTTCAAGGCCCTGGGTTCAATGGATCCCTACCACCAAATAAATATATGTATGTAATATTTCATATATAGCAAAACATTTACATTTCAGTGAAACCCTGGAAGGATTTTTTTACAAGGTAACTTGAGGAAAGCCTGCTTAAGTATTTTAGCAAATCTGAGACTTCTAAAGAAAAGATCAACAAATTTGGCTACATAAAGAATTAAAATTGATGCCGGTCATGGTGGCACACATCTTTAATCCCAGCACTTGGGAGGCAGAGGCAGGTGGATCTCTCAGTTCGAGGCCAGCCTGGTCTACAGAGCGAGTTCCAGAACAGCCAAGGCTACACTGAAACCTTGTCTCAAAATACCAAAACAAAACAAAACAAAAGTTGGTGTTGTTTAATGTTGGCATGTTCCCTGAGCGGCCTGCAAGCCAGGCAGAGGCTGCCGCCAGGCAGAGCTGGTCCCGCCATGTGGGTCGGAGAGCAGGCGGGCGGGTGCGGCAGATAAAAGACTTACAGGACATAATAAATAGACGCAAGGCTAAACAAAAAGGTAAACATTTATTACTTAAAGAAGAGGGAGACAGAGAGACATGAAAACAGACATAGAGACAGAGGAGACACGTGTGCACACGCCGAGAGACGGGGACAGAAGAGGTTAAGATGGCGACCAGGAGGTCAGAAGTGACTGGGAATGGGCATGGCTTGCCCTCAAAGGGACCAGAGCAAAAGAATAACAGTTGGGGAGCTCCAGACTCCGGGAGAGACTATATCTCAAGGGGATAAGGTAGAGAGTGTTAGAAGAAGATGTCTAAGACCCGTGTCTGACATCTTCATGTAGGTCCTTGTACTGTGTGCACGTGCACACACACACACAAACACACACATACATAAACATCACACCTCACACCACACACATTTCTGCATTGTAAAATACTCAGTCTAATCAAAGTAAAACCAAAACAAAACTGCAGAATGGAGGAAGATTGCATCTCCTAAAACAGGCCAGGGGAAATTCCTCTGATATAGAAAGAGCTTCCATAGATCATTGGAGAAAAGAACCCACAATGATTCAAATTGGGATTCAAATCAAAAGGGCAAAGAACATAAAGACTCAGTTAATGGAAAGAGAAAGTCCAGTTGAGCCATGGAGATCTGAAAACAGCTCAACGACCCCTTCCCTTCCCTTCCTTTGTATGCATTTTAAACGTTTTTGTTTGTTGTATGTGGTGTGTGTATAGTGTGTAGACAAATACTCTATAGTGCAAGTGTGGAAGTCAGAGGGAAGTGACGTGGTGGCTCTTCTTCCACTTTTACGTGGGTCCCAAGAACTGAACTCTGACCACTTATATAGTAAGCACCTTTACCTACTCGGCCATCTTGCCCTGTTTCTCATCACAGTTTTGCTGTTGTTGTTGTCATTGGTTTGGTTTGGTTTGATTATGGTTTTAGGGTTTTGTTTGTTTGTTTGTGACATGGTCTCATACAACCCAGGCTGACCTAAAATTCATGGAACTCACTATGTAGCCAAAGGCTGGCTTTGAATTCTTAATTTTCTTGCCTTTTCCTGCCAAGTACTGGGGATGTAGACATATGCCACCATGTCTGACAAGAAAATACCTCTTAATAAAGTAATTAAAAAATTTAACTACAAGTTAGTTGGTTTTTGTTTTGTTTTATTTGTCTGTTTGTTTGTTTTTGTTCCTCGGAATGTATGTAGTTCAGTAGTAAAATACTCACCTGGTACACAGGGGCTCAAAACCCAGAGAAGCAGAGTTACGCATCCTATACCTGTAATTCCAGCGAAGGCAGGAAGATCTCTACCTCAAGTCTGGGCTACACTAGAAAATATTGTCTCAAAGCAAACAACATTATCATCACAGAAACAACCATAAAGCTGGGTGTGGTGGCAATCATGAGGCAGAGGCAGGCAGATCTCTGAGTTCGAGGGCAGCCTGGTCTTCAGAGTGAGTTCCAGGACAGCCAGGGTTACACAGAGAAACCCTGTCTCAAATAAAGAAAACTATGACAAAACCCCAAGATTTTGAGAGGGTAGTTGGACAGGAAGAAGGGAGGGAGAAAAGATCCCATTATTTGGTAAGCAAAGATCAAAAACATTTAGCAAGACTGTTTATCTGGAGGAAAACAGGTCCCACCTGCCTTTTCGGTAAACATACAGCTGAGCGTCCGCAGAGGTGGTTTGGTTTGGCAATATTTATCACGAATACCACATCTCCCTTCACTTCCTACAAAAAAAAAAACACTTATCAGTTTTTAAATGCAACATTATTTACAGCTAGAAAGTGTCTAAATGTCCATTGGAGAGGTAAAATAAGTGAATTTACCGCCTGCTGCTCTGAATACAGCAGTAACACCCAGGCTCACTCTTTAGGGACCAATCCTGGAGAAACATGAAGGAGGAAGTCACATAGAGAGCAGACCGAAAGAGGCATCTGTTTACTGAGTGAGCACAGTATCTATTCAAACAGAAATTAATTAAATCAAGTGTTGAGGCTTATAAGACGGCCAGAAGAGCAACAATATAAAAGTTCAAAGCTTCTTCCTCTTCCTCCTCCTCTTCTTCTTCTTCTTGAGACAGAATCTCCTGTAGTCCAGGTTGGTCTCAAACTTGTAGTCAAAGATGATCTTGAATTCCTGATCCTCCTGCCTCCGTCTCCCAGTTGCTGGGAGTACCCGTGTGCACCCATGCTCAGCTTATCGGGTGCTGGGGATGAAACTCACGGCCCCGTGAATTCTAAGAAGGCATGCTACCAGCTGAGCTACATCCCCAGGCCAGGTTCAAGTTACAGATGAAGTAACTTGTTGTCTGGGGTTTCCTTTGACATAAATCCAAATGGGACTGAGAAACCAGAATGCACAACATGACGGGATTTAACATAGGGGAACCTGAACCGACTGAACGCTCAGTAATTGAGGGTTTGGTTAAATAAATTATGGGTCTCGCTCTGAGAATGAAATGCTGTGCCATCATTTAAAACTAATAGATCATGTATTAAAGGCACTAGAAGGACATTTTTTTGCTTTGTTTTGCTATTAATTGTAGAGTGGAATTACCTTTTAAAGCTTTATTTAAAAAATTCAGAAGTCACAAAAAGGAATGTCTAAGTAGCTAAAAGCAAAATTTTCTCCATTGCAAAAAAAAAAAAATCACAAGGGCTGGGCATGGTGATGTGGTGTGGGGACCCTGTAATCCCAACACTCTAGAGGCTGAGGCAGGAGGATTGTCTTAAATTCAAGGTTCAAATGAGCTACACAGCAAGGGTCAGTAGAGGCAGGGTCAGAATTTCAAGGTCAGCTTTGTCTATACAACAAATTTGAGGCCAGTCTAAAATCTATCAGACCCAACCTCAAAAAATAAAGAGAGAAGGGACAGAAGAGATAGTTCAGCACTTAAGAGCACTAGTTAGTCCTCCAGAGAACCTGGGGTTTGTTTCCAGCACCCACATAGCAGAAGAAATCCAATACCTTCTTGTACACATGAAATGCACAGGGTGCACAGACATATTGTAAGCAAAACAGTCTTACAGATAAAATAAATAAGAGATAAGTAAATAAATAAAATCTCAAAAAGGAACAAGAAACAAACAAGAAAAAAAAAACATTGTATGTAAAGCCAAAGGAATCATGTGTTGGTGTGCGGGAGAACTAGCCTTAGTGGTAACTGTGGAAGCCCAGAAACGGACATGTTTGAGCGTTGTCATAACTTTTAAAACAGGACCATGGAGGCACGGGCCTTTAGTAGCAGCACTTGGGAGGCAGAGGCAAGCAGATATTTGACTTTGAGACCAGTCTGATCTACAAAGTGAGTTTCAGGGCAGTCAAGAAACCCTGTCTCAAAGAATCAAACAAAACAACAACAAAAAGCTCATTTTATTTTATTTTGGTTTTTCGAGACAGGGTTTCTCTGTGGCTTTGGAGCCTGTCTTGGAACTAGCTCTTGTAGGCCAGGCTGGTCTCGAACTCACAGAGATCCTCCTGCTTCTGCCTCCCAGTGCTGTGTGCCACCACTGCCCGGCTCCTCATTTTATTTTTAATTATGTAAATGGGTGTTTGTCTGTGGGTGGGTTTGTGCATGTGAGTGCAGGTGCCTTCGGTAGCCAGAGGAGGGCGTCGGGCCCCCTGGAGCTAGAGTTATAAGTGGTTGTGAGTGGTCACAAAGGGGTGCTGGGATTCAGACTCAGATTCTCCGCAAGCGCTATCCACACATTTAACCACTGTGCTACCGCTCCAGCCTGGCCGTGCTGTTCTTATCCAATACATTTTTGACGTTATATGTCACAGAGACAAATCACATGTAAGTGACGTCACACTGGGTAATATCTGCAGCTGAGCTGGAGGTGAGCATAGAGCAGAGCTTAGCTTGTCTGAGGTTCTGGGTTCGACCCCTAACACCCTGCCCCCTGCATAACTGACACACATAAACTGTCAGACTGCTACCAACAATGTTCAAAAGGCCTTCCACGGTGTTTGAAAACACACAGTTAAACACTGGACAAAGGATTAGAGTGTAAAGTTCTCAGAAGAGGAAATGAAAAGGCCAGTGGACACAAGCTAAGATGCCCAGCCTTGATTACATTCAGGCCAGCCTTGATTACATTCAGGAAACTGCATCAAAAACAATGAGGTTCTGCCTGTGATCTTGGCAACTGTTTAGACTCGATGTTCTCAACATCTCCAGTTGGCCAGGTGTGGTACATTCCCGCACTCCTAAGGGACTTGTCCCTGTCCCTGTCAAGACAGAAAAGCTGCAAGGTACGTAAGAACTTAAATGCATATACTCTGTGACCCACTGACCCTGTTGGGAGAATTTATGCTAAAAACAGGAGGTGGGAGGAGCCAAGACAAACAGACAGGCAGGATCAGGCTTATTGCCAGTGCTCCTTCTTACAGGGTGTGACCTGCTCGTTCCTACTGCTATGCCTGAAACATTTGACAAAGACAGCCCAAGTAAGGAGGGGTTTATTTTGGCTCTAGGTCTGGGGGTGGATCCAGCGCTTCACGTGGGGAAAGCTTGGTGGCAGGAGGATGGGGCGGCTGACCGCATGGACTCCGAGGAGTTAGGATACAAAGAGAACTGGCGCCCAGCTTGCTTGCTCGCTCTTTTTTTCACTTTTTATTTTTTTCTAGGAGCCCAGCCCACACATTCAGGAAGGGATTTTCTTCTGGGAACTAAACCACCCAGAGACCAACACACTCTAGCTTTCTGAGGGTGGTTTCCTCTCTATGTAGTCCCAAGATTAGTCAGGTCGACAATGTGTGTCAACCACGGCGGTGTCCAGCCAGCTCACTTAAGTTATAACAGCCCACAGGACCTATACCATGGCTGGGCTTAAACTTTCTAGGGAACCTCACCTGGCCTTGAACCTCTTTAGCCTCCCGCTCCACCTCCCAGGACTGGGATTACAGGTGTGTAGCACAAGGCTCATATATATTTTAAGTCATAAAAAGCAAATTCCAAAGGCTGGAGAAATGGGTCAGCAGTGAAAGTCACTTGTTGCTTTTGTAGAAAACCTGAGTTTAGATCCCAGCACCCACGTGACCATTCATAGATAACTATAACTCTAGGTAGGGGATCTAATGCCATTTTCTGACCTCCGTGGGCACCAGGCATGTATATGGTACACAGACATGCATGCAACAAACAAACAAACAAACCACTCACACTCATAAAATAAAATATTTAAGCCAGGCGGTGGTAGCTCATGCCTTTAATCCCAGCACTCAGGAGGCAGAGGCAGGAGGATGTCTGTGAGTTCAAGGTCAGCCTGGTCAATAAGAGCTAGTTCCAGGACAGGCTCCAAAGCTACAGAGAAATCCTGTCTTGAAAAATGATATATCTTAACATGGAAAGATAACACTTCCTAACGTAGCTTGGTGCATGCTTTTAATCCCAGCACTTGAGCAGACGCAGGCAGATCTCTGAATTCAAGGCCAGCCTGGTCTATACAATGAATTCCAGGACATCCAGGGCTCCGTAGAGAGACCGTGTCTCAAAACAAAATAAAAAACCAAACCAAACCAAGCAAACAAAAAAACCAACAAAACAAAATCACTGCTCCCTGGGGACACTAACTGTGCCTAGCCATGAATGCTAAGAAAATTGAAATGAAACTTGGCAAACTGTCAGTTCAATTCACCTCCGCGGGTCAGCCCGACGCGGGAAGCTGTTAGAGGATCCACACACTCAGATGAATTCTTCAAAACGGAAAAACAAGCACGCTAGTTTTGAAGCAATCTTCCACCACTACCCAAACCATAAAGATATTACTTTAAAAAGGAAGGGCTGTAGTATGGCTCAGGGTGGTGTTTGTATTCAGTACATGTAACCCCCAGCACAGAGATCGGGAAAGGGAGAAGAACAGAGGGGCATGATTATGCCCAGGGTGGGGCAGCGCTCGTCTGAAACGATGCCTTATTTGGGTTCCTTTAGTGCTATTTGATCCTGGGTAGCATGGGCTCACGCCATGCTGGGTAGAACCCTGGGGGGACATCCTGGGACCCTTCAGGGTTTCCATAGCAACAACTGCAGGAATAACAAACAACCTTGAGTTGCAGGACCCTATCAGGGAAAAGAACCAAGTTTCACTTACACAATTGTCCTAACAGCAGGTAAGGCTCCTCACTGTGACCTGCAGACGGGGACCTAATTGGGTGGAGTCTTGAGGAATAAATTCCTATGACCAGATGGTCAGAGGGAGAAGGGTGTCTGGGTGGATACATCTTGACCTGGGAGGCCACCTTGTAGCCATCTTAGTCATGGGCAACATCTCGTCCATTGTATCACTTTGTCATTGCTGTAGAGAGGCTTTGTAAGGAGAGAAGTGTTTATTTGGCTCCATCTTAAGGATGTAGTCCATTGAGGTAGCAGGTATGCCAGACAGCTGGTCATACAGTGTCTGTGATCAGAACAGGGAGGGGGACACTGGCAGGGCGGGGCGGGGATGGGGGGGAAGCAGGCAGCTTACCTCTGTCTTTTCATTCAGTTCAGGGCCTCAAACCAAGGGGTGCTACTGCCCACATTTAAGTGGGTCTTCTCACTTCAGATAAACCTTTCTGGAAACACCCCCCCACACACACACCCCGGCATTCCAAGAACAAAGACTAGCCATCGCATCCACCACGTGACCTGAGCCTCTACGATAAAGAGTCCTTAAGACAGTCAGTGGAGAGTTTTGTACCCAACACTGAACAATGGCGCCCTGACCATCACTACTGATGTTGAGATCTGAGAAAACCCAGGTGTAGTCCAGCTGGCACTGTGCCCTCCTTTGTCTCCCTAGACAAAGCATATGTACACACCCCCTCCAGATTTAGGGTGCCAGGATCTTCCTGCTTTACCCCTACCCAACACATACTTCTGTTCGTAAGTCCCTGGTGGGTTGTTCTCTGAAACTTGGGTTTGTCCACCTCTTCCTTCCATCTTGTCTTCCGGCACCGGCATAGACCCTCCACTCTGAAATAACGTCATTCCCAGACAGCCCAGCACATACAAACACAGATATCAGCTGCCTGAGGCAGTGAGGCTCAGGAGTTCAGAGGGTTGGTTATCTAGGCTTTATCCCTGATGACTTCTGACCAAAAAATCTGGACAGGTCTCTGCCTTATAGAGAAAACATCCCCGAGACGATGGGAGGAGGCTGGGTGATGGGAAGGGCAGGGGCTCTACAGACAGACAGTTGTGCAGAGTGAAGGGGGGCAATAGGAAGGGACAGTTTGGGGTAGTTTCTTTTCTTTTTTCTTTTTGGCTTTTTGAGACAGAGTTTCTCTGTTGCTTTGGAGCCTGCCCTGGAATTGGCTCTTGTAGACCAGGCTGGCCTCGAACTCACAGAGATCTGCCTGTCTCTGCCTTCCGAGTGCTGAGATTGAAAGCTTGTACCACTACCGCCCAGCTTTTTTTTTGAGAGAGGGTTTCTCTGTGTTACAACCCTGGCTTTCCTGGAACTTTGTACTGTATAGCAGGCTCCGCCCGGCTTTTTCATTTCTGTTTTGTTTCGTTTTGTTCTGGTTTTTGGGGGGTTGGTTTCAAGAGACCTGGTAAGAGGGACATGGCAGTCCCCAGGAGGAAGATTAGAAGCAGCGTCAGATCTCTGCTAAACTGGGCGGACAGAGTTGGATAAGCCATCCCTGAGCTAGTTTTTAAAAATAATTTCTCGGTGCTGTTGTTTTCAAGAATTTGGTATGGTTTTTATTATAAAATTAATTGAAAACACAATTTTTGGAAGAAAAAAAAACCACCAAAACCAAAAGGCAGAGAGGAACATTTAAAGCGAATTTTCTCCAGAGAGACAGAAAGTAGGAAAAGGGCCTGTCCTAGCAGCAACTGCGGTGGGGACAGGGTGGACCTGGAGCCCAGCAGGAGATGAAGAGCATCTGAGATGATGGGACGGGGAGAGGCGCCGGACAGCCAGGCAGAAAGGCTGAGCCCTGCACCCCTCGGCAGATCCCATAGGCACCCGACGTCTATGCCAGACTCATGCCAGATCTCCATAGGGTATGAGCTTGGCAGGCAGACGTTGGCTGCACCCAGTGTCTGATACTCACAAGCTGAACAAGTTCTGTCTGCCGGTGTCTCCTACACAGAAGTCAAATCACAGTCCTAAGGCTGTGGTTCTTAGAAGACCCAAGTCACCCGTCACAGTCAAGATCAAGTGACTTGCCCGAGGTCTCTGGGGAGGGGCAGGATGCTGACCTCAACACCACAATGATGATCCCAGTAGTCACACTTCCTGGCCCCCCATGCTGCCATAGACCTCACTGGTATGACTTCAGTCCCTCTTGACGCTGTGGCTGGACCAGGCTGCAAAGCCCCTGGGTGGGGAAGAAGGGAACCTAGCCCCCACATCCCCACTCACCCCCTGAAAGCCGTGCCTATGGTTTAATAGCTTGTTGCGCCCATTTCAGATTCTTCATAAAGTTCTTTTTCTCTTTTGACAGAGTTTTACTGTGAGGCCCAGGCTGACTTGAACTCTGTGTAGCCCAGGCTGGCTTGAACTCTGTGTAGCCCAGGCTGGCTTGAACTCTGTGTAGCCCAGGCTGGCTTGAACTCTGTGTAGTCCAGGCCAGTCTTGAACTCAAGATTTTTCTACTTCACTTTGTCAGGTGCAGAGAGCCCCGCCACCACAGCCAGCCCTTTGTATTTTCGAACCAGGGGACTCATATTTTCATTTTGAACTGGGCCCTGCAATTGCTATAGCTGGTGTGAGATATGGGCCTGCTCCCCCAAGCATTTATTAGCCACGTGAAAAACACTGAGGACAAATAGAGGACCAAGTTCCACAGAAATGAAGATCCCAGTAACATGGCTCTGGGTATCGCCCGGGGACCTGGAGAGAGTTTGAGTGGCAGTATTGGAATATAGAAATTTTGGTTCCAGGATGAGGAAAAGTTAAGAATAGATGTCTAAGTCAGGTGTGGTGGAGCACACATTTAAGTCCAGCACTCAGAAGCAAAGGCAGGCAGATCTCTGCGAGTTCAAGGCCAGTCCACTCTACACAGTGAGTTCCAGGACATCCAGGAACATAAAGAGACCCTGTTTCAGTAATTAATAATAATAATAATAATAATGATAATGATGATAATAATAATAAAGAAGAGAAAAGAATAGAGCTCTACCTGCCAGGTGGTATGAAAAGCCTGGAATCCCAAGGACCTGTGAAAGTGAAGGCAGAAGGATTAAGAATTCAAGATCACCAGCCAAGCATGGTGGCTCACACCTCTAATCCCAGCACTTGGGAGGCAGAGGCTTGCAGATCTCAGTGAGTTTGAGGTCAGCCTGGTCTACTTAGTGAGTTCCAGGACAGCCAGGACCAGGCAGAGAAACCCTGTCTCAAAAACAAAACAACAACAACAAACCAAATTCAAGATTATCCTTGGTTACTCAATGAGATCAAGGCCAACCTGGGCTATGTGAGGCCCAGTCTCAGAGACAATAATGGGTATTCAGCAACCTACCTCTGAGGTAAGGAGACAGGGTCAGAGAGGGCCTGAGACATTCTCCAAATGGCCCAGTCAGCAAGGCAGAGCCTCCAGGACATGAGAGACCCAAGAAGGGGGGCAGTATCCTTGACTCTTCAAACATATTTCTCCCTAGAGGTGGCAGACTTCCATCCCAGGAATCCACAGCTCAGGGGTTTCCCTGAGCGCTTCATTGGCCACCCGTCCTATAGCCCAGGGGCCTCCCTGAGACCTAGTCTGTCTTGAAACTGCCTCACCAGAAGGTGTCTGTTTGTCCTTTGCCCTTTGCTGTGGCAGATCCTTGAGAATGCATCTTCAGGAGGAGAGGTTTCTCCTGTCCATGATTTCAGAGGGCTCAGTCCATGGTGGGGGTGGGGAATGGGCCCTTCACACTTGGCGGTTGGGAAATATGAAGGAACTGCTGAGGTGGTGGCTTCCTCCTCTTTCCTTTTATTCCATCAGAGCCCCTGTCCCCACGTTCAGGACAAGAGTCCCCTCCTCTGTTAATCCTCTCTAGAAAACCCTTCACCCAGAAATGTGCTTTATGAATCTCCCAGGGGCTTCTTCACCCAGTCAAGCTACCAACCGTGATTAACCAGTCGTGGCCTCCACAGTCTCTCCCCCAACTCTTCAGAAGGCTTTGTTCAGCCCGCCCAGCGTCATGTGTCTGCCTTCCTCCCCTTGTTCACCTGCCCAGCCAGTCTTGCCTCCCAGTCCCTGCCCTGCCCAGAGTTGGCAGAGGAATCCCTGCAACCTGCCCTGGCCTTTGGTGACAGATGACCGCACACAGCCAAAGCCTGTAACCTCGGGCTTAGCAGGGTGAGGTTCTTTGAAAAGGTGTGCAGGGAGTGGCTCGTCTTAAGGGAAGTTCCAGTTTCTAGGTCTCTGATCTCTCCCTTTGGGGTTACATGGCTTCCCTGTTTGTTCTGTAAGGACAGTTGTCACTGGATTTAAGACTACTTTTCCAAGAGGAGATGAAATGAAGAGCGGGAAGTAGACATAGCTTTCAGGTGCCGCACGTTAGCTCACTGTTCTCAGTCTTGTCCTGGAACGCCTCTCCTCAGCCCCGCTCAGCCTACTCCCGCTCGCTTGCTGCTCTCAATGCAGCTCACCTGGAGCATAGCCCCTGCTCCTCAGGAAAGCCTCCCTTGCCTTCAGCACCAGAAAGTAAAATCATCAGAGGTCTTTTCACCTGTGGAGGGCCCCACCCTCCCCCAGTCTGGGAGACTTGCACTGACCTGTCTCCTCTGCATGCCCTTCCCTCTACCTCAGTAGCCTGAGGTGTTTGTGGGAACTTTCCCAAATGCCCACAGGCTCTCACTCCACTTTACCCCACAACCACTCTCGGGCTGGGCCACCATGCTGACTATCCCAGATGCCAATGTTTGCCTCCCTGACCGCCCCTTGGATTCCTTTCATGGCCTCGCCTCTCCAACAATCCCCCACCTCTGCCACACACACCAAAGCGCCCTTTCCCATCTTATCTGGATGTGGGGGGTCCCCCTCTTGCCATCATGTGGCCCATCCCTGTCTTGGACTCACTGACTCCCGGATCCCATCCCTCATTCCCAATCATGGCCAGGAAAGTGCGACCCAAACACCCTCTGAACTATTGTCTCTGGACCCCTTGGGACCTGCAAGTGTGTATATTCAGTAAATTCAGACAAACCTCACCATCCTGCCTCTGAGTTGGCTGCCATTAATTCTCATTCTTGGCCAGGAGCCCTGCCACCAGCCACAAGCTCTTGGCCTCGCTGTTTTCCAGTTAACCTTGGATGTGCCCAGTGTTGAACCTGCTACCCCATAGCCAAGCTCTGTTCTTAAGGGAGGCCTCAGTAGCCCCTCATGGCCTTTCAAGCTTTCCAGGGTCCCCGAGTCCTTGTAGCTTCTGTTCCATCTCCAGCTGGGGGAACCTTACAGTGGCCTCTCCTCCACAGCTATTTATCAACCTCAATCCTCAGAGCTGCTCCTGGGCCAGCCGCATCCCAGGCATGATTTGTCTTGTCTCATTACTCATGGTCAGCGTGGCTACTTCCGTCTGACTCACCAACAGCCCTCTTTCCTGACAAGGGATGGCTGGCAGGCACCCTAGACGTCATCTAGCCCATTCCAGGGCAAGAAGGAAGTCAACCTGCTTGGCACAGAGCCACTTGACCAGATGTCAGGATAGCAGGTTTGGGATGTGGTCAGCTCTGATTGTTGGGACCTCACAAGGATGTCTTTTGGTTGCGAGGTTCCTGAGTATCATGGCATGCTTGTGAAAAGTTCCCCATAAGCTCATGTGTTTGAGCACTCATTTCAGCAGGTGGTGCTCTTTGGGGGAGGCTCTGGAACTTTGGGGATGGATATGGGTCCTAGTGTTAGTGGATTGTACCTGACTCCAGTTCATCCAATTCTCTGCTTCTCTAATACGCCACGATAGGGAGTTCTAACACACGCACCACTGGGACTCCACTGTATTTACCCACTGGGATGCTCCACCAAGCTCACCCACTGGGATGCTCCACCAAGCTCACCCACTGGGATGCTCCACCAAGCTCACCCACTGGGACGCTCCACCATGCTCACCCACTGGGATGCTCCACTGCCTCACCATGCTCGCCCACTGGGATGCTCCACCATCTCCACCATGCTTGCCCACTGGGATGCTCCACCACCTCCACCAAGCTCATCCACTGGGATGCTCCACTGTCTCACCATGCTCACCCCCGGGTTGCTCTATATGACTTCCCTACTGGGATGGACTGAAACTTTGAGCAGTAATAAATCTTTCCTCCCTTAAGCGACTTCTTTTGGAGTTATTTTTTTGTCAGAAATGAAACAAAAAAGGAACACAGAGTTCCTTTTGGAACCTTTAGGAGACTACAGGGCTGTCCAACTGCTCCTGGTTACTTCAGGAAAAGGCCTATGTGCCCTTGGTCTGGGGCCTGAGGTTTCTCAAGCAGCATTTTGATCTGCACAACACATGGCCTCCAAGAGAAGGGAGCCACAGGCCTGCTGGTGGATGAAGTTCATTCCAGGACAGCGTTGGGTCCTGGAATTGACACCTATTAACTGGGTGATGCTGTGTAAATATCTCTGTGCCTCAGTTTCCCCACTTGAGGCTAATAACAGCACTTGACCTCACCGGGTGTGGTGAGGAACGCATTCTGAAAATCTCCTTATGCAGTAAGACTCAGTGTGCACTAGCCATTTAGGATAATGACAGAAAAACAGCCTCAGGCCCTGCTTGTCACCCTCAACTCCAGACCTGAGCTTTCCACACCCTCTTCCCCACTCAAGTGACCCAAGGTCCCAGGGGTCAGCGACGAGACAGCGTACACGGCAAGGGGTGGGAGTAGCTAGACTTTAACATTTGCCGATTTCCATGGCGTAGGGTGTTCCACCCGATCAGCTGTCCAGCTGCCGCAGGAGATGGAGTTGAGAAGCCAGTGCCAGGGCCACCCCCCTGCACAGTCCCACTGTGCAGATCAACAGGCCCCACAACCCCGAGTAGCATTAGCAAGAGACCAGTGTGGCACAAGGGTGGTGACTGGCGGGCTTTGACTATTCTCTTCCCCCTTTGAAAAAAATCTATTTTGATTTTAGTGATATGTCTATGTGGGGGTGGGGTATGTGAGTACAGACGCTGTCTAAGCCCAGAAGACCATGTCAGATTCCCTGGAACTGGATATACAGTTATGTCTGCTGGAGTGGATGCTGGGAACTGAACTCAGGTGCCCTGCAGGAACAGCCTACATTCTTATCCATGAGCCATTTCTCCAGCCTCTGTCTCTGCCTTTTATAGGGGCTTCTAGGACTGGACCTAGAGTCTCAAGCAAGCTAATCATGTGTTTTGACCTATACCCCAGCCCACTTTTATTTTTATTTATTTACTTGTTAATCTAATTTTTCTTTTTTTAAAAGATTTATTATTTTATGTACACTGGGGTTTTGCCAACATGTATGTTTGTTCAAGAATGCCAGATCCCCTGGAATTGGAGTTACCAACAGCTGTGAACTGCCACGTGGGTGCTGGGATTTGAACCCAGGTCCTCTGGAAGAACAGCCAGAGCTCTCAACCACAGAGTCATCTCTCCAGTCCCAAGAGAGAATCTATTTTATCCCAGGCTGGCTTTGAACTCATTATATAGCTGAAGACAACCTTGAACTTCAGTGGTCCTGCCTCCAACTTTTGAGTACCTGCAGTACAGGCATATATCACCACACCCTGGGGTATGTGGTACTAAGACTTTTTTTTAAAAATATTTATTTATTTATTTATTTATTTATTTATTTATTTATTTATTATGTATACAATATTCTGTCTGTGTGTATGCCTGCAGGCCAGAGGAAGGTACCAGACCCCATTACAGATGGTTGTGAGCCACCATGTGGTTGCTGGGAATTGAACTCAGGACCTTTGGAAGAGCAGGCAATGCTCTTAACCTCTGAGCCATCTCTCCAGTCCCGGTACTAAGGCTTTTTGCATGCTAGGCACGTATTCTACCGATTGAGCTGTGTCTCCAAGCTCCTCCCCACCATTGCTTTTAGCAAACATTAGTTACCTTGTTTCTTTGAAGACGTATTTTTTTTTAATTATGTGCACGTGTGTGAGCATGTGTTCTTGCAGGTGAGCTCAGAGAAGGCGCTGAGTCCCCTGGAGCTGGAACTGTAGGTGACTTCGAGCTTCACAGCCCCTGCTTTCAATAAATTTTAATTGTAAGCATATCTAGTTTAATTTTTCACAAGGGTCGTGCTGAACAACTGACCCATGAAATGGTAGAAGTGTAACAACTAGCTGTCCCAAGCACATACAAGCTGGCCCCGGCACCTCACTATGCTTCGTTCCCACGAAGGCCCTGGTTACTCTGGAAATTCTAGGGCCTGATCTCTGCCCTCTCAACACACACAGCAACAAATCTGCCTCCCCCCACCCCACACTTCCCAGCCCATTCTACTCTTTGGAATGCTAGGCACATACAGAGGCTGTCTCTGGAATGCCCTCCGTCACCTGGGGACCCCTGGTCTGCCAGTCATGGCCCATTACAAAGCTGGAATGGTAGCATATGTCTTAATCCCAGCATGCCAGAGGCTGAGGCAGGGGGATTGTGAGTTCTAAAAGAGCCTGGACCAGCAATCAAACAACAACAACAACAAAAAAACACAAACAAACAAACAAAAAACCAACTGTTTTCATTCTAGGTGAAACAAGCCCAGGGCTTGGATTCAGGCACACTTTGATATCTATCATGTTGATATCTGCCATTTAATAGCCATGGGACCCTTAGTGGTTAACCTAATCCCCACACTGGTCATTTGCCGTGTCTCTAGAAAGGGAATATTAATTCTAGTCAGGGAAGTGGCGCAGGTCTGTTTTCCCAGACCTTGGAGGCATAGAGATCAGGAAGGTAAGGTTATCCTTAGCCTGGGCTACATGGTCAGCCTGAGCTACAGGAGACCCAACCTCAAACCAAACCAAACCAAACCTAGGACTGGGCCCTGACTCAGCAGGTAAGAAAGAGTGCACTCAACACAAGCGTGAAGACCTGAGCTCAAATCCTCAGACCCATATACAAAGCCACAGTTGTAAAGCCCAATACTATGGAGGGCAGAAACAGGACATTATGGTTTGCTGGCCACAGAATCGGGGGCTGGGCAGGAAGATCCCTGGACTTGCCGGCCGCCAGTCTGACTCCAGTTCATGGAAAGACCCTCTCTGGAGGGAATAAAGTAGAAAGTGATAGATTGGAATACAGCTGTCCTCCTCTGGTTTCCGTGTGGGCATAGGTGTGTATACCCAGGCACACACATGTGCAGACACCACACATACTACACACGCACGCACACACACACACAAACACTTCAAACAAAACAAAACAAAAAACTAAAGAGAATTCTGAAGAGCCTGAGCAAAGAGGTCTTACTTAGCCCTGATTCCAGCCTGTGCCCAAACCAGTTTTATCAACCTGTTTTTGGCATAAAGTCACATTGGAAGTTTGCAAGTCTGACATTACATATTGGTGACACAAGGTGACATATTCAGTGTCTTCCCTCTGCAGTTCCTCTGTTCAACCAGACAGACAGCCATCTCCCGTCACGAGGGGATAGTTGGCATTTTCTTTCTTTCTTTTTCTCTTGGTTTTCAAGACAGAGTTTCTCTGCAGCTTTGAAACCTGGATCTCACGCTGTAGACCAGGCTGGCCTCAAACTCACAGAGATCCACCTGTCTCTGCCTCCTGAGTGCTGGGATTAAAGGTATGCACCATCACCGCCCAACATCATTTTCTATAATGGAATTACACCATATGTAACCTCTGTGTCTGGCTGACTTACTCCTGAGTTTAGATTTGACTCAAACATTTAGAACTCCGCCAGTGTGTGATGCCCTCAGGTCCCCTGTATCAGTTAGGGGCTGTCAGGCTGCAGCTGTGCGTACCCACCACAGAAGACTGTTTCTATTGTTCAAGGCAATAGAAAGTCTTTATTATCGGCCAGCGACTGTACTGGGTGTTCGGGATCCCAGTGTAGCACTGAGTCTTTCTCAGAGTGAGCACAAAAACCATGCCCTTACTAACATACTCAGCTAGCAAGAACAGTTCGCCAGAAGTGAAACTACAGAAGCCAAAAGGCAAGATTAGTGCTTTTATAGGCTTTGATGGATCAGGTCTTTGTTTTCATTTTAGGCGGGTGACGCTGTCTGCTTGCTGAGTTTTACTGCCCAAATGGTATTTCCATCATGGAGTCAGTTGTGCTAAGTTCTGGGGCCCTGTTCCACAGTAACAAACAGCTCCAGTTCTTGAGGTTTCCTCCTTGTTCACATTCCGTGATGTCATTGGTGGCTACGGTTTTGTGCCACGTCACCCTCACTCCAGGACCCAGGTTGAAGGAACAACCCTTATCTGGGGAACGGCCCATTGCCTGGCAGGAATAAAGGGACCCTTGCATCATGCTCTGACCCTGAAGGTGTCTCCGGAGAACTGGCACGCCTCATTTATGTACACTTGTCACCAACGGAAGCCAGCACAAGCAGTGGCCTATCACTGTCCAAACATTGACTGGGGTAGGATCAGAACAGCAATAATGCTTACTTCAGCTGCCTCCCCCATCCTCACTCTTACTTCTTAACCTTCCTTGAGCTGACAGAGATCACACTCTGTTTCACACCAGGTGGAACCGCTTCTTCCCCAGGGGCCAAAGTCTTCTGGCAGTGTCTGGTCAGCTGGACTGCCTATGTTCATCTCAGGCCATGATCTATCCTGTACACCCACTCCATGGCAACCACTTCCCTCGTCCTCCCCTGGACTCCTAGCATTATGTAGCTAGAAAGATAGTAGCAGACCTGGGGGCTACTGGAGATGGACACCCTATCTCCTGTTTCCCTGGTAACACTCTGAGCGGAGGCTGCTTCGTAGGGCTTAAATTACCATATGGTGGAGTATCTGGCCTTTGCTGAGGCCCATTAACAAACAACTTCTTAGCCAGGTGATGGTGGTTCACGCCTTTAATCTCAGCACTCGGGAGGCAGAGGCAGTTGAGTCTCTGTGAGTTCAAGGCCAGCCTGATCTACAAAGTAATTTTCCAGGCTTACTCTGTAAGCCAAGGCTGTTACAACAGAGAAACCCTGTAAAAAAGGAACCACTTCTTGCTTCTTCCTCTTTCTTGGTCAGAAGACTCACACCTGAGTTCTTCTGACAGCCTGGGTAGCGATTTGACACGCTGTTGTCTTCAAATTAATTCAGCTGGCCTGTCAATCACTCACCAGGCCAGGACTGCTTCCCTGAGGAAAG